TCTCCCGATGCTGCATTTGCATCTTCCAGCAGCGCGGCCTGGCTTGTAGACTTACGTCCTGGTTACCTGAGAGCCCTCGCCATTGTGTTCGGTCTCTGTTCCTTTCTATAAGTCACGTCACACTCTTCCACTTTTCCACGAAATTCTTATTATACAAATTCTCAATTGATTCCAGAAATATTTCCTTCAATTTTTCCTCCTTGTTTTCATTTGTTTTTTTTTTTCTTTATTTTTTTTAAATTTTTTTTTTAGTATTTTCTTCCTTTTCTTTCTTTAGTATTTTCTTCCTTATCTTTCTTTTGTATTTTCTTTCTTTCTTTCTTTAATACTTTCTTACCAAGGCTATGGGACAATCACCCCCTTGCGGGCAAATCGTGGTAACCCGTTTTGTTAGCAGTGGTGAAGCCTTCGTTGACTGAGCCGGCGATTTGATTTGTTTGGCCAAAGGGTGCGCCGCTGTCCTTCTGCTCCATTTGTGTTACCGCTGACCAGTGGTCAAGATGCGCTATTGATCATGCCAGAATGGTCTGTGATGAGGTTGAATGCCTGAGTGGTGGGAGCCTGGACACAAGGTGGGGGGGGGTAACTAGGGAAGGGGGTGTTTAAAAGTTGATTTGGTCTTTTTAACACGTTTTTATTAACTCAGCTTCGCGTGGATGTGTTTGTTGTTAAAATTGACATCGAAAATTAGCCCACTTCTGATTGTTCTATAGTTCTGAAATTTGGCATGCAGGTTACTTTCGCCTAACAATTTCAGATGCAATCATAAAAACTAGCAATTAGAGACCGTAATTAGCTTAATTTAATTACGCCCCAAGGACCATAAAATTGAGGACATGATTTCTAAAGATACCGACAAGACTGGAGGCCTATAGACACAGTTACTTCGGCCCCAATCGATGTGAGCGCGCTGGCCGTGATCGTATAGTGGTTAGTACTTCGCGTTGTGGCCGCGACAACCCAGGTTCGAATCCTGGTCGCTCAAGATTTTTTTAGTCCGTGTATTTATAAACACTTTTTTAAAAACCACGTTTTTCATGTGTAGCAACGGACTAAAAAGGAGAAAATAAAATACTTAAAAAAAACTTTTTAAAAAACCACGTTTTTCTTGTGGACTAAAAAGTAGAAAATAACTATTTACATACATTTGATGACAAAAAACGTGGGTCGGGCAGATGGGGCGGGAAATTTGATGGTGAACGTACCCACGTTTTTTGTCATCAAATGTATGTAAATAGTTATTTTCTACTTTTTAGTCCACAAGAAAAACGTGGTTTTTTAAAAAGTTTTTTTTAAGCATTTTATTGACCGTTAGCACTATAGCACTCCGCACTCGGGTTGTTCGACGCTCATCTTTTGTATTACCCGGCCACACCTTGTTGTTCTGGGTGTTCTCTCACACTTTCCACACAATGGCCACCACAGGTCAGCACATCCTCGCCACCGGCCATCTCGAAAACACCAGCGGTGAATAAATCAACTGACCAGAGTTGAAATCAACTGACCGCAGTTGAAATAGGTCAAGTGGCGGGGGACAAACATGCTGAACGGGGGATACTGACCAGTGGTGGCCGAAATAGGAAGCTCGCGGCGTCCGGAGTGAGGATGTGAAGTGACCCGAGCAGTCAAGGGCTGGTCATCTGTCTGTAGTAGGGGCTGTGGTCAGCTCGGTAATGATGTATGAGGGGGTCGGTAAAGGGGGTTTGATGTTGAGAATTGCAGACTAGATAACATGGGTTAGCTGCCTCCTTTTTGGTTAGATTGGAATAGAGGGAAAGTGTTGAGTGGGGGGGGGGGGGTAGTGTTAAATGAAAGAGAGGTATGGTGAGCTTTTGGTTTGTATGGATCCAGGTTATCGTGTGGGTGTTTGTGATAGGCGGATAGGCGTGTCTATACCCAAGATAGGCGTGTCTATACCCAGGATAGGCGTGTCTATACCCAGGATAGGCGTGTCTATACCCAGGATAGGCGTGTCTATACCCAGGATAGGCGTGTCTATACCCAGGATAGGCGTGTCTATACCCAGGATACTGGTATAAAACACCAGTACCCGACATGATTTAGGCTTGTAGAAAAATCAACATGATTTGGATATAGTTCTTTTAAAGGGAAACATGTAGGACTAACTTTATGGGGCAATTTTCATTACCGTGGCCCACAAACACATTCTAAACAAATCTAGCCCCAGCTCTGAAATCAAATGGATCCATAAAGGGTTCAAATCCACCATCCCACACGCCACAGATTCACACCACCTACTTCTGCCCCTTGTGTTTTTTTTTTCACATTCTGTGCAAGTCGACGATTTACCACATAGTCATAAGGCACATAGTGAAGCCATGTACACCATAGACTTATCTCGACGTGTTCACCTTGAATTGATCAACTACAAGCTTTAATAAAAAAAAACTCATTAAATGTTTTATTATGGTTTATTCTTTGTGATAGTTTTTACATGTACACAAAACAGCTGCACGATGAAAAAATAAGGAACTGAACACTCCATTATCGAAATCAACTCTCTGGTATCGGTAACTGTTCTCTTACATTCGATGCATTTTAAATTACCTGTAACAATCCCTTCGTATCTTAAATTAGAATTCACTTTTTTTAAAAGTTTAAAGCGTAGAGTTAAATTAGGTCAGGCGACTTTTGTTTCCTCATCAGGCTCTTGGGGGAACAGGGGTGAGGGGTGGGGAGAGAGGGGAGGGGTGGGGGGACAGACTGGAGGGGTTGGGGGACACCTCCCGATGTCTAATTTCAAAATGTCGCTATTTATCTCTGCAACATTCCATCGAGTTCCCTCCCCCTTTTGTTCACCGCGAGTTGCCTCCCTCGTGTGAAAAACAATTTAAATAAATACACATTAACATCCCGATGTAAAGGGGGAATACGAGGGTAGGTAATGTATAGAGGGAAGAAAACATGCCTAGTCAATCACAACAGACCAACCGCACAAGGAAAAAAAAATTATCCCCGAAGTTATCAGCCTCAGACCTTGTAGCAGACGATTAAGGTGATATATAACACCACGACCTGACGCGTCAACCTTGTTTTTTATCCTGGCACCCCTCCCCCACCCCTCCCCCCTCCCATCAACCCAGACTCTCAAATTCCATCTAGTCCCCACCCTGAAGGTTGCGGCCGTGGTGTCCCCCTATTTGAATTGGAACATCACACATATTCACTTTCCCCCCGGTGTCCCCTGTACATCACCGTTAATAACAGCCCTCGTCTATTTGATGTGTCACTCTCGGCTAAGATTACACCCTTGGCGATATATTTATTGTGATTTTATTCCGAGGGATAGTTTCTTTTCTCAAATTTAGGAAAATCCTAATACAGATTTCTTTCTTTTTAAGAAATAGATTTTCTTCTAATTTATTATTTAAAAACCACATAGCCGTACTTTACCTATATTTTCTAACTACATTTTCTAACTATATTTTCTAACTATATTTTCTAACTGCATATTATCCAACTTTGATGTGGTAGGTTTATGATTAAAACAAAAGTTGTCGAAATTATTCACCCCATTTCGATTTTTAACAGCATATATCTCAATTAGGCACGAAATCGATTACATGCCTGGATATTTGAGCCGACCTTCTTCACACTCCACCCCCACCCCCCCACCCCACCACCCCCCACCCGTCCACCAACACGAAATTTGAATTAGCATCTTGTTGTTAAAACGCTACATCACAATAATTATAAAATTCCACCTCGTGCTTTTGTTTTTGTATTTAATATAACGCAAATTACACGGCAATCACTTTTTTTTAAAATTTAACTTTTTGACATAGCATTGTGATGATAACACTAGTTTGATTTTGAACTTTATTATCTTAATTTCAAGGCATTACTATTTTTGTATGAGAAGTGTTTGAAAATTTTTATATAATCACACTACGACTATTTCTCTTTTCGATACAACATTCGCTTTTGTTTTAAGTAAAGAAAACAATGATATATTTTTAGCGGTTAAAATATATTTGCCTGCCTTATTATAGTTCATAATGGAGAACAACATTTATTTTATCATCATTGTTTGGGGATAGTATTAAGTATTGGTGTTTGGTGTCGTTACTTTATATATTTTACACACGGTGGCTTTGATTAATGTAGAAGGGAGCCTACTCTAATCCACCCGCTACAAACCCTCTGTTCAATCACAGGATTAGCGTCCCCTTGCAGCAACATTAGTAAAATTACTGGTGGGTAGGGGTCGCTAGCGGTCATCTCATCTCGGATCCCTCGCGGGTCAAGAGGTCAACGCGTTGATAGATTACCAAGATTATCATCGGATGTCGTGGAGGGTAGATAACCCTGGAGTTACCCGCGGTGTAACCCTAACCGTTACAGTAGCCAGCCGACAAAGCCGGGCGTAATGCCCACACATTTATCTCCCTTGAAGACTAAAAATTCTGTGTTGTCTCCCCTTCTTTTGTTGTCTTTATTGGAAGCTGATCGGGTCTGAAATTATCTTTGATTGCTGTGTGGTATTTGTGATAAATGTCGGCTATTTCCCAGACTCGCCACAGGTCTCGTGAGATGAGGGTTAAAAAAAATAGTTTCGGCTTGCCTCGTTGTTAGATCAATAACTGTATTGTAACTTCAGTGACGCTTTTTCCCTCTGGTAAAATGGACAGTTTTTTTAAATATTTTTTTGTAGCATACTATAACAGCGCGAGTACAAGAGAAGTGTGTAGTTCGTGTGTGTTTATGTGTGTGGAAAGGAGAGGGGGTATTTTCATATGAAACAAACGTGTCTTTTTTGTTTTGGTAATAAATAAATAAATAAAAAGAAATTATATATATATATATATATATATATATATATATATATATATATATATATATATATATATATATATATATATATATATATATATATATATATATATATATATATATATATACTAATGTATAGATAGATGAATACGTAGAGTGAATTAGCATGTTTATAACTTTGTGGTGTTTTTTTTTTTTGTCTACAGTGGATGGAGGCGACGGTAAACAAGGCCGGAGAGACGTTAAGGACGTACTCGTCGTGTTACGTCAAGACGTCAAACGTGGACAACTGGCTACGTCTGCCTTTTGTGGAGAGGGGGGAGGCGAACTCACTCCACATAGATTTAACGTGAGTACTTTAGGGCCTCCTCTATCTGTGTGTGGTGGTGGTGGTGGGGGGCGGGGGGGGGGGCGGGGGGCTTCTGACATATACACTTCAGGATACAATTTTGATGGGGAGTTTATACATAATAGTTACGTTGAACTTTTATTTAAATTTATGTCACTTTAAAGATCCCTCTCCCCCACACCTACTCAACTTCAAAGCAATCCTTAAGTATAGTTCACTTCCTTGAGTTCACTCATGCCTTATGAGTACCTGGCATGAGTAGGCACAAGAGACTGGTCATGTAGTTGACAACACAATCTCTTGATGTTTTAAGATTGCTCAGGAAATTTATCAACATCTGCACCATTGCCCCTCAATCACGAGATATTTCGTCTTTTCTTCTTCTATAGGGCTTAAAGTCCATTTCCTACCATGAAATTTTATAACGATTTAATTTCTTCATTGCCATACCCCTTCTTTTTAAACCTAACGCCCATCCATAACACCTCATACCACCTTTTCAATCGTTTACCCAGCTTGTTATCTAAACACCGACCAACCCTCTTAAGTCACCGGGGTAATCTCCCATGGTAACCTGTAACCAACTGAACCCCACCCCCCCCCATGTTGACCCGTAACCAACTGACCCTTCATGATAACATGTAACTAACTTACCCCCCCCCCCCCATGGTAACCCGTAACACACTGACCATCCATGGTAACGTGTAACCAACTGACCCCCCCCCCCCCATGGTAATCCATAACAAACTGACCACTCATGGTAACCTGTAACTGACCACCTTTCAGATTTACCATGAGAAAGTGCTCCAAGATCACGGACGTGACCAACCTCCAACAGTGCAAGGAGACCTTTAACCTTTACTACTTCGAGGCTGGATCGGACTTCGCCAACGCCATGAGACCGTCCTGGGACGGTCTCACATACAAACGTATTGACAAGATAGCGGCAGACAAGCTGTTTGTGGTAGGTTCGAAACACGTTGGGGACATGACTTTTTTTTTAATCAAAACAATTACATTTTAATTTTATTATATTTTTATTCTTAATTTATATATATATATATATATATATATATATATATATATATATATATATATATATATATAAATGCTGGTCTGTATTAATCGGGTACATACCTGGACTCTTACATACTGTAATAATCTACACTTCTTGGCTACACACTTAGTTTAGACACATGTGTTTGCACTTTGTCCACACAACTGTCGATACACAGACTTAACACACCTGCATACGCTGGCAACACATCAGATGCATACAACTAATCCACACTAACCGCACACTTGGTCACATACCTGGTGGACACACCTGATTATATTACCAACACACCTGTTGCACATACCAGAAAACACCTAGTCCACACACATGTCTACACATCCCAACACATAGTCCGCATACCTACCCCACACACCTGTCCACACACCCAACACACCGTGTGCATACACCAGTACCCTACACACCTTCAAACCTTACAACCCCTCCCCCCTCACACCTCCCCTCACACCTACCCACACACCTACCCTCACCCCTACCTTCACACTTACCCACACACCTGCCCTCACACCTACCCTCACACACATACTCTCACTCCTCCCCTCACACCTGTCTACACTACCAACACACCTAGTCCACACACCTACTGACACCTCCCCTTACACCTCCCCTCACACCTCCCCACACCTCCCCACACCCCTCCCCACACACACACCCCACACACACCCGCCCTCACACCTACCTCTCCACCCCCAGGACCACAAAGAACTCGAGTACAACGACGAGACCCGGCAGATTCCCGTCACCCTCAAGGGCGCCTACTTCGCCATCCAAGACGAGGGCGGCTGCGTCACCCTCGTCAGGGTCAAGGTCTACTACGTCACGTGCCCCAACGTAACCGTCAACTTCGCCATCTTTGACGAGACCCCCACGGGGTCAAAGGACACGAACGTGGTGATGGGGAAGGGGAGGTGTGTGGAGCACGCGACCAAGAAGGCTGAGCTGGACTACCTGTGTCAGAACGACGGGAAGTGGTACGACCAGCCCAAGGGGGAGTGCGTGTGTAACCCCGGGTATGAGGGCAACGCCGCCCAGACGGAATGTACTGGTAAGTACCAGGGGGCAGTAGGTGAAGAGTTAAGTTTGTTGTGTACCATATAGTCGATTAAGGTCCCAGAAGAAATGCGTAAACGGAAGACTGCGCAATGGAAAACTGCCCAAACAGAAAAATGCGCAAACAGAAAAATGCGCAAATAATTGCAAATGCCAATAATACACTTTTATTTTGTCAGATTGCGTGGAAAAGTTATTTATTATGCAGCAATGTACTTTGGGATCATGCTTTGTTAATGTCCATAAAAGCTCGATTTAATAAAACTAAAATGCCCTTGTTGAGCACTTTTTTGTGTGTGCAGTTTTCGCTTGTGCAGTTTTCTGGTCACTGATTGATTCATTTGTATAAGGTTATGATTTTAGTATAGTATAGTCCTGTATTATTGCATAAGGGGGGGTGGATTGTGTAGCGCACTACATCAGTGTGGTAAGCTAGTTCACGAAAGATTAATGCTGTCGTAGTTTACAGGTGCATGCTTTCTTATAGGGTGCCTTAAAGGTGTATTGTCCACACTATCGACCTATGATGAAAAATGAACTCTTGGTTTTTAATAATTTAATGCGAATTATCATGACCATTATCACATTTTACTGGTGGGTTGTATCAAATTTCACGGCTACGCTAAGCCAAGTGTTACAGAAGGGTACATACATTCGATACTAATTGACACATTGAAATTTAAATTCCCTTTACTCTCTGCTCACCTTTGCTAACATTCGCACGTGTTTCTAAATATAGCCTCATTACCATCGCTCCGTTTTCCCTGTAGTCCCCTAACCGGATGTGTACCGAAAACTTAAATTTTACCCAGCATCCCCGATAGTTCAGGTCCGGCCGCGGTAACAAATTGCCCGAGTTACCGCCACGCGGGCGTCCACTGATAAAGTGACCTTTCCGTCTCCACGTACCCACGAGACCGCGCCGACAATACGAATTTGTGCCGTGTCCCGAAGGCGAGACGAGGGCACAAATGTGCCGAGAGCTGGGTAAACACGGCGAAAATCTGGAATAAAAAAATTGAAAAAAAAAATAAAATTCCGGAAGAGCAAACCAAATAACCGCATCCCCGGAAAGTAAATGGAACTGTAGCATGTCTGGTTTGTGCTGTTGGCATTTGGATTGACCTAGTTAAGAAGTAGGTCAAACCACCGATGGGTGATTCTTGTTGTTTGGGGGGGGGGGGGGATCAATCCCACCTTTTTACACGGGAAACTAGGGCGTTGTGTAGGGCGCCAGGGGTGGATTAAAACATCCAATTCGGATGCAAACAAGATTTATCCATTGAACAAACGACTTGGACTGGACATTAAGGACGGGATGGGCAGAACTGGTTGGGGGGGGGGGGGGGAAGGTGGAGGGAGGGGGGGGGGGGTTAGTAGATGACTGGTGACTGTAAAACCTAAAGTAAACTATTACCTACCTCCATATAGTAACAGTATTTGTCCACCGCTTTGTTTATTTAGAAAAAAATACTTATTCACAAAGCACTTTTGGTCACTTTAAACTACATAAATCAAAAGTACCTCCGCTTCAGAACAATACAAAACAAACGTACTATAACCTATTACTGAATCCATTTAAAATATTAAAATGTACTCGAACGAAATGGTTTCCTCTCTCACCAAAAACACCATCAGTTATCAAAAAAACTGTTTTCACCCGTAATTTTGAATGAGAAAATACCACCGTACAGTCCACAAATAGATCAATAATTTTTTTTTTCTAAATGGAGCGGTTAGCGTTGTGCTTGATTCAAAAGTTACAAAATGGCCGTCGAGGCCGTCTGCTGACGAGTGACGTGACATGGAATCCCTCACAACGATTCGGATCAAAAATTGTCCGGGGGGGGGGGGGGGGGGAAGGGTTGAGAACTGGACACATTTATTTTTTTGGTAGTTTTTTTATCTGTTGTGTGAAGTTTGACAGGTTTGAAAAAAATGCTAATTGTAAAAAGTTGTCAAGTTATTACGTAACGCAAAGATCTGATGCTTTGATGTGGGGGTTAGGTGGGGAGGCGTGACTTTGAAACGAGGGCCAAAAATGTCGTTCCTGGGTGTTGGAGCTAAAGACCTAAACTTGATGTTTACACAGGAGTGGTGGCTTTAATCTCTTCGAACTTGATGTTTAGTTGAAGTCCTAAGAAACTTGATAATTAGAATTTTTTGATAATGATTTTATTTTATTTTTTTATGCTAAACCATCGTTTTTACATTATTATTTAAAAAATATATGTAATCTTCTGTCGATGCTACTTCGGTTAAAAGACTTTGTTTGACCTAAGTCGGGTACATATTACGAGATAGTTCGTATTGGGCAAAACATTACTGAACAAAGCATCAAATGTTGTATATAGAAAACTAAACAATATTAACGAAGTTGAATAAAGGCTGTATTACAATACAAGATAAATGTTGAATCCATGCTACACGCGGTATCAAATGCCACTTCTGATGACAATCAAATGCCACATCTGATGACACGGCATGACACGGGAGCTCGTGCCCAGCGCGTGTCTGTCATCTAACTTTGCAACTCTACACACAAATTCATTTTCTCTTATCGATTTCGAATTTCTCCCGAATTTTTTTTTTTTTATAATTTAAAGATTGTGCGTGCGTGGGAGTGTGAGCCAGTGTGTGGGTGGGCGTGTGGGTGTATGTACGCGTGTGTGAGACGTAAATTTCCGTGTCCGGGAAATGACGTCTACTCGGGGCTGACAGAAGGATCCTCGCTGTCACAGCCTCGGTATGGATACCGCGAGAAAAAAATGGCTGAAACGAGAATCTCGCCATGTAAAAAAATAAAACACGAGCACACAAGATGGGGAAAAGGGAATCTCGGTCAGGCGAGGGGGTAATAATAAAGGGAGTGAATCAGAGGTGGAAATTTTGGACTTCTTCTCTTCTTCTTCTTCTTCGTTCTTAATTTTGAATATGGTGGAGGATTCAGACAACAAGTCCAACTTCGTGGACAAACCGGACTGTGGTCTCCAGTTTGTCAGGTGCCCCATATAATTTTTCCCTGAGTGGGGTGGGCTGGGGCCAGTGTCTGACTCTTGCCTGGCCATACAGAGTACATTCCTGGAGTACGTGCTCCGTGTTTTCCGGGGCCTTGCCACAAGGGCACATTTCGCTACACCAAACCTTCACTTTTCTGTACATGTGTTGATTTAGTCTGTTGTGGCCTGTTCTAAGTCGAAAGATTATGTATTGTTGTTTTCGTGTTAAATTATAATAGCCGTCGTCTTTGGACTGATTATCCCCTTATGCATTTTACTTAGATAAGTGGGTTGTGTTTAGATATAATCGTTAATAATGCGTGGATTGCTCCCTATAAATAGAATGTCTGTTGTTGCTAATAACAAAATTATTGTGTATTTAATTTAACCTTGTGGATTCAGGTTTGAGGAGTGTAACCCATAACATCACTAATACTCGCCGCAGTTCGACCCCTCGCTATAAAAACACCTCGTAGTTCTGTAATGGTCGTCTTTAGGTTTTCTTAACTTTCCGGGAATTTCCTTACCTCGTGTGTTGATAATGAATTCTAGACGACGGTATTGACCCCCTCCGACCTCTATCTTCCACCCCCGTCGAGGTTAAAAGGGGTTTGCCATACCAGCAGTACCCCAGTTTCCCGTGAAATAAAAGTTTTGCCGTATCCAGGGGTGGCGTCATCTTTGTGTTGTAAACTTTAGATCGTCTGCTTCGGTGAGGCTGGGGCGATAACCCAGCAGGACATTAAAGGACATGGTTTACTTAGTAGGACATTAGAGGACTTGAAAGGATGATAGAGAGCGCGGGGGTGTTGGTGAAGGGCACGGGAAAATGTCCGGGGTGGGGTTGTTTGAAGTCAAGGGAGTTAATATTCAAGGGGAGGTAACTAACAAGAAATAACAGCCTGAATGTCGGAAGTTCGGAGTGAGGCGTGGGAGGGGTGTTTGTAAATAAACAAGGTAGTTTTTTGTACAGATAAGGAAAAATGTAAGTAACGATTGGTATTGGAGTAGAATTAACTTCAGCATTGTCAGCTATTTATAGAGTAAAGAATGTATATAAATTTAAGGTAAAATTCATCTATCTATTCAGTTCTATGCCCAGCTGCCTTTACTTCCCCAATACGAGTCGGGTACCCATCACAGCTGGATAGGCTCAGTGACGTTCATTGGGTTTGAAACTGTTCCGAAATCGAGATTTCATGGTTAGGAGTCGACACGACGTACATTCAAAATTAATAATTATAATAAGTTATAGGGTGTCACTTTTTTGGGGAGCGACTAACCTCGCATGCTTCGCGTTTGTACAATGTCATAAAGATTAAATAACCATACTATCTCTAGTGATTTAACTTTCACTCTGCTTGGGATGTGATCAATTTAGTAACGCTGACCAATATAGTGTAACTGACCATGTTTATAGAAATAATACAATAAACTGGTCATCTGCCCCCCACATACACACCATGTACCAGAAAAAAAATACTCTTAAAATTAACGTGTCATAATGTTTTAGAAAAAACCAAAGCCCTTTGTACTACTGCCCAGGCCGTTTGGGTAATAACCTTAAGGGCTTTTGTTTGTCACTCAATCCCCGAGACCACTGACAAGGGCCAGAACTTGTTTACTCGTCTCGAGCGGTGAGGGGAAAGTTTGTTGTCACAGGCCCATCATTTTGTGCTTTCCTCCCTTTGTCTCGTATGCTTAGCTTGCGTCGCATGTGCTTGTCTTCCCCTGTTTTATGCCCTGGCCGTGTTGGCGCGGCCCGCGGGCCGGACCGTCGACTCGCCTTCCGACACGGTGGACAAACACGTGACCCCCAGCCCCCACAGCACAGGGGTAAATAACTCTGCGGGCAGGTGAACGTGGAGTGGGAAAGAAGGACGAGTTATGCCCCATTACAAGGTCACCGATAACATTGGTGCGATAGAAAGTTAAAAATAACTCGAAAGTTTAAAATTATGAAAATACCATTTTTTAAAAAATATTTTAATTTTATTTTTAAACAATTATAAATAACAAAACCGTATTGTTTTAAAGAAAGCCAATGTTAAAAAATATCAAAATACCTGTTTTTAATGTTATTTTATTTTTAACGAACCGTATGAGTTAAGCTTTCAACCTATGTTTAAAAATGCCAAAATGCTTGAAGCAATTACAAACGTACGCTGAAAGTGCATCGAACATCCGCTTAATGCGTGCAATTTTGTTTTGATTTTTAAGCACCACTGCGTTATGAAAACTTAATTCATTGCACTTAGCACCAGCAAAAGTGGTCAAGACACAGGGTTGGGAAAAAAAGGGGGGGGGGGGTGCAGAGTTGGATACCCCTTCTTGTTCATCAATGATTTTAGACTTCTTGTGTGATCTACTTCAATGTTCTGATGAAAACAAAGAAATAGTGTCCTAATAGATGCGCGCATTTCCAATGTAAAGTCGTCAGTCGTTCTGTTTTCACAATGTATCATACGTTACTTCCGTGCCAGTTTGAGAACCAGTGATAGTAGATTGAAATTATATTACACTATTTATTTTCGTGGGAAGATTTTTTTTCAATTGTGTAAAAAAATTAAGTTAATTAAGCTTATTTCTTCCTGGTGTATTTTCTTAAGCTTAGCTTAATTAATAAGATGATTGAAAAGAAAACTCGTACCGACAAAATATGATTGCGATCCACTTACGTTTTTTTTACCTGCAATTAAAGGTGAATTACCTTGATGTACTTTGCACCTGGTTCAAAGCCGTCAATCAGGCTTTCATGTTTTGTTCCAGACGTTTCTCTGATCTAGTTACCTGGTCTTACACGTGTGTGAGCTTTGATATTCTAGATCACAATCACTACAACATCACTACACTCACCCACCACTTTCACACAGCTACCATCATCACAGTCACCATCACCGCACTCAGCCACCATCATCGCAGACACCATCACCACCCACCCACCCACCCACCATCATCACATATACGATCACCACCCACCCACCCACCATCATCACGTATACCATCACCACCCATCCACCACCATCACAGCTACCATCACCGCACTCACCCACCACTTTCACACAGTCACGCACCATCACAACACACACCCATAACACACATCGACTTAAGTATTACTGCACCAAGCCGTTACGCGTAGTAAATTGCGTAATTCCAATATCATCACCACCATCCCCTTAATACACACCCACAGCTCACACACCCAACCCCCCACCACCCATACCCATCCACAACACACATACACCATCGCACACTCCACCGCACACCATACACATCTAACATCCTCCCCCCACGCCCACCCACATTACACCAATCAACAACTCCGCCAACACATTAAAAAACAATCAGTTCTCTCTAAAGGTTGTTCACAAGTGCTTAACCCCAGATTTTTCTTTTATCTCAACCAAAAAAAAAAAAAAAAACCATCATTGTTTTGCCAGCTTTGGCGAAGAAAGTAAATTTTCTTTTCAAATCAATCGCTCTGAGTACTTTAACACAAACATAGTCGTATGAAGTAGAACACATTTTTTTTTTAAAAAATGACGCGTCATTGACAGTCTTCATGTTCTTAGGAGAGTCGATGCCAGAAGTCTATTGATAGAGTTCCAATGGGGTGTTAGGGATGGGGGAGGTTCGAGTGAACGGTCGATATGGTTTCGTGTGGTCTTAGAGTCGATACTGCTTTGATGTACTCGAAGTCGTATAGGTTTCAGTATAAAAAAAAACGATACGGCTCGGCGTAATCGAAGAGTCGATATAGATTTATGTAGTCGAGTCATTGTTTAAGTTGATGTTACAACATGAGAAAGAAAATAATCAGTAAATACGCCTAAGGTTATTGAACATTGGAAGATATAATAAAAACATGCCCAGTTTAGCATGCCTATAGGTAAAGTTGTAATTAGTTTCGTAATATCAATTAAATTAGAAGTATATCCAGTTCATTAATGCCACTAAGCTTGGCTATCCCGTTAAAGAATTTTACCAAGATTGAAACCCTATACAGTTTCGGATTCCTACTTTGGTATCCAAAGTCCTGTCCAGTTTGGGAATCCCAATACGGCTTGTAAGTCTACCGTCTCGAAATCTACTAGCTGCATAGTACGAGAACGAGAAGTTGTGACCTACTTACAAGCCCTATTACCTTAGACGACCTGCCTAAAATAGTAACTGCAATCTAGATTTAGGTTAGATTCTCTAGCTAATCAGTGGTGTGTGAACTATTCATAGCTGAATAGTTATCATCTATCTAATTTAATACTTGTTACAAAAGTATTTTAAAAAAATTAACATGTTTAATATAAAAATTATGGGTGTTTAAAAATGTGTACATTACTTATATATTTTGTAATAATTTTAAAAAATGTATACATTATTTCTAAATTGAGATTTGATTTCTGTCCCCAGCATGCCCGTCCGGTCAGTACAAATGGTCAGAGGGTAACGGACCGTGTGAGACATGTCCCGAGTTCAGCTACTCGACGGGAGGGGCCGCCGAGTGCACGTGTCAGCTCAAGTACTACCGCAGTCCTAAGGACCCCAAGTCTAAGCCTTGCACTCGTGAGTTCCCATTTTCCCTCGTTATCTTCCATGTTCCCTTTGTTTTGTTCCTTTTGTTATGTTTCATGTTCTTAGTCTACAGTTCTCTTTACCATGTTCCCTTTTTATGTTTCAACTTCCAGATATACAGTCCCATGTTCCCTTCATTGTATTCCATTTTCCTAATCTACAATTCCCTGTTCTATGTTCCTTTTGTTTTGTTCCATGTTCCTAATCTACAGTTCCATGTTTCTTTTCTTATGTTCTATGTTCCTAATCAATAATTATGTATAGTATTTTCTTTATTCTACTTCCTATTTTTTGTTCTCCATTCTTTATTTTATGCTCGCTGTTCTCTATTCCTCGTTCCCTATTTGCTGTTCCATGTTCCCTATTTGCTGTTCCCTGGTCCCTATTTTCTGTTCCCTAATTTACGTTCCATATTTGCTGTTCCCCGTGCTTTTCGTCTTCTACTTCTCTTTGTCATCTCCCCTTGTTGACCGATCACCTCCCCTCTATTTTATTAATTTATTCAACTCCTTATCTTATTTCTATGCGTTTTCTCGAATCTTCCACGCCGTTGACCCTCAGTCCATAAATCCCACGACGTCAAATACTGTGCATCTGATGTCACTACACCGACGCGCTGGTAATGAAGTCCTACACGACGGGCGACAACCACACGTCATAACTCTCCCGCCATATTACGTGGTTTTCCTAAAACGGTTGCGTCCCTTTCACCCTCCACGCCATCATTCTTCGCCGGGTATAAAGAGGAGAAAAAACATAATATAATAAAAAGCGGTAAAGCAAAAATTTTTCTGCGGACCTGCTTGCAATTTCACGCATGCTACGCACCGGACTGGTGTGCTCGCTTCTGTGGTGCCACTTGATCGCAATAAAAATTGTCCGGGTTATTAATTCGCTCAGAAATTTTGGGCCCCTTGTTAGGGGAGATAACTGCTCAGTTTGTGATTTGTTTTCCATCAAGGCCCTTGAGATTTTTTTCTATTTATTTTTTTGGCCATCTCAACTCGCAGGGGTTCTTTGTCTTCTTGGAACCCCGTTTATCTGTGGTGCACCGTTTGGAAATTCCCGAAACAAAAAGTCACTTAAGTTTTTATTTTATAGTTAGGTGCCTTATGACCAATGACTGTTTTATACCCAAAGTATATTATACCATCCCCTAATAAAATAAAATATCCTTTCGAATATGGCGGTCCAGACAACTATATCGACGGAGAAGAGTTTTGTTTGGTCGACCTTAGAACATAAGTATCTTTAGATCAGGTAAGCGTGGTCCGGTCGGTTAGTTCATGGTTGCTGAACTGAAAAGTCCCGGGTTTGGACCCCAAATAGCTGTGGACAGCAATCCATATAGGAGAGACAACTCCAAGATTAAACAACTGCTGCATTGTAGTTTGTCGTTGGTTGGACAAAGGCTATGGAAGCAAATCCAAAAAAGAAAAGCAGGCTGAAATCTGAGTCAATGGCCTGTACGGCGCATAACAAACAAGTTCACACGTATACTTAATTGTATTGGAGGGAATCCTTTCCAACACTAGAATTTAGAACGAAGAAGAAGTTCAGGTCCGTGTCAGCATGTCATTAACTTTACCAATTAATGCTAAGTACTAATAAGAGCTGGGTGAGATTATCGACAGCCGTGACATTTCGCCTACATCTTCTCCTATCTTGTAAGTTCCACGCCTTCTCTCAAGACCTCAGCGTCTGCAGATGACCGATTGGATTTCAAAACCGAAAAAATAATGTTTTTAGATATGTCTGAAGGTCAAAGTCTGAAGGTCAAACATCATTCCCTTGTTTGGAATTCAAAGAAACCTCATGACGTCACAACTTACCTAAAAAAACACAACGACGCTGAGTTCGTCTTGAATCAATCTCTGAGGTCTTCAACTTCTAAAAATAGAAACACAGCAACCCTCCCCAACATCCCGATAAAAAAACACAACAATGGCGTCTGTTTGGGGGAAATTTGAAAAACTAACACGACTCTGAGATGTTTGAATGTAAACACCCCCCCCCCCCCCTGTTTGCAGCGGCGTATCCATAACTGGCATGACATTTCCAGGACTGGAGATTTCGTCAAATTTACATTTCTCTCACAGTGTGCATCTTGCCGGTCGTCTTTTTATTTATTTTTTTCGCTGAGACGTCTTTGGTTTTGTTTACTTCTACGTCCTCTTCTCCTCCCCCTCCCTCCTTTCCGTTTTATCTTCATAAATCATTTTTTGTGTGCATTGTTTTAATAAAGGTTGGATGGTGTTCGGACCGAGGTTCAATCAGAAACTGCAAGCTCTGTCTACAGCTGCTGTTATTTTTTTTTTTCGTGTGTGTTTTTTTTTTTAAACCTCGACATAGTGTTTTTTTTAAAAACCTCGACATAGCCTCCGCGTGTGAAGATAATAACTGTCACGTTCGTGCTGGTAACAAGTGTCACGTTAGAGGACGTGAAAAAACCTAGTTCCTTGCGTGAACGGATATCTGGTCTTGAGGAGTGTGACGTCGTTGTCACGTGGTAGATGTTTGCCTGCTGCTGAAGCCGGATGTTACGTCACCGCAAACACAACCTGGGGGTAGGGTGTGGAGTGGGAGAGGGTGGTGGTAGCTTTTGGAAGAATGATGATGGCATATGTTTAATATTTCTCACACCGCCCTCCGCCGCCCCACGCACACACACTCACGCACACAAACGCACACACAGTCACATTCACACACACAAACGCACACACAGTCACACACACAAACACACACACACAAACGCACACACACTCACAAACACACACACCATTCCATCGTTTCCCTTTCGCGCTATTCAAACAACTTGAATGCGTTGTTTAAAAAAAACAACAACTCATGTTTGGATATGAAGTAAAGTTCGGCCTTGATAAATTAACACCAGCTTCCTGACATGCGCAGTCCTTATGTTCAGCGCCGGGCAGGATGGGTAGACACCTTAAGAGTACATGCTTAAGTACTTGTTTACACCTGATGGTATCAACATTACGTCATGAAACGTAATGTGAGGCAAAATTTCACTTACCCTTTATAAAGATGTTTCAGAAAGCAGATGCAGTAGAGTGTATGTATCTTTAACAGTACTTGATATGACATCCTTCACACGCGTCAGTTCTGTTGATATCCAAGATCCCTTAAACATATCCATTATGTCCATAACATGACCGGGATTCGAACCCCGTTTTCTTATTTAATACTTATTAATGCCCATTAAAACTATAATGGAGTTTTTTTTTTTATTTTATATTAAAAGGCGCCATCGTCTGCTACTGTTCTTACATGTATCGTTTAATGATGGAAGAAAATTGTATCTCTTCTTTTATTTCAATTTCCTCTTCCCCCCCCCCCCCCCTTCCTTCCCGGCGGAGGATATAATGGAAATATAAATTGATCAAATTGGAGTCGTTTATCATCGGTCAAGGCTGAGGTTGGGTCAGATCGGCGCCACCTCCATAGGATTAACGGAAAAAAATATTATCGCCCTTTTAGAAAAGGAGAAACTTTAGAACAGAGGAAAGAATACGTCACGTGTTTTTTATGTGACGTCATCATAGATTTAGCTTTGACTTGCAGATTAAACGATACAGGCGCGAGGGTTTTAAAACTGTGTTACATAAATATCTTTTATTTGTTTATGTATCAATCATAAACGACATTAAATTTACAATAAGTACTTTTAATATTTCTTTATTAAAAAAAAGCATTTAACAATATGTATCTATTTTGTTAAGTGTAATCAGTTAAGCTTCAAGATTTAATCGTATCAATTTTACTGTAAACTTTAAAAAATTGCATGATTATATAAGACGCACTCAACGAAAAAAAAATAGTGTCAAATCTGCTTTTTGTTAAAATTTTGAGAAAAAGTAAATTGAGAAAGAACGTTTTTCATTTTGTTTTAAATTTCATCATTATCTTTTCTTTTTTTTTTACAGTAATTTTTTTTTTTCTTTCTATTTTTCTTTTAGAACATAGAGTGTTCTATGAGAATTTAAATGTCCGAATAATTAAGATCTTTAAAAGATTTAATTAATTAAACCGGAAATGACTGCCCACGAGTCGGTGTATTTCTCGCAGGTTTTTTCCTTCCAATCGCTGATCAAGCGACAAGCAATCAACACAGGGGATTGCCTCTGTAGTTCCTTTTTTTCTAGTCCGTCCTTCTGTTGTTTCTGCCGAGGGTTTCAAATTGAACCGAGTCTGCGTGGAGTTGACTCGACGAAGAATGCGTGAGTTTGACCAAGAAACTCAACTCAATGTAGGAATAACTTCCGTTCTGGGTTGTCTTTCCCTGACTCTCATATTTTTTTTTAACCAGTGTGTTTATGTCTGTGTGTGTATGTCTGTGTGTGTGTCTGTGTTTGACGGTTGACACCAGCGCCTGTTTGTTCTTAACGCTCCACCAAACAGGGACGGTGCCCTCTCGTGCCCCCTTCTGCCCTATGCCCATGTGGCAGGTTGTTTGCCTAATTTAATTTCCAGCTGGCCGCATGGACGTCTTGTGTCATAACTGACAGCCCACGTGACATGGGCATGGTGGTCAAATGACAGAATGTCATGGTAGGGGTCAGTCAGTTTCGGTTGTGTTATTAGCCCACACCTCACTCTCTCACCTTTACCCCAAACCCTCACCCCACACTATCACCCTCACCCTCGCCGAACATTTTCAACCATCACCAAACACTCCCACCCCTCACCCTCATTCCATACCCTCACCACACACCGTCACCCACACATTTTCCTCACACTCTCACCCTTACCCCACATTATCAGCGTCATCTGAAATACTTGCCCACTTTTTTTTTTGTTTTAATTTATACTCTTACTAATTTGTTTTTAATTAAAATTAAAATACACCTAATCTATATAAACCCTTATTCTACTTTTCATAACACAATTCGCCCTTCCATTTTATATTCAATTGGTATGCTTGCATTAAACATAATATTTTTTAAAATAGAATTTCTACCGAAGGAATTTTCGTTTCAAATAATGTAAAAAAAATATCTACCGTTTTTCTCCTACTTTGCTCCGGTACCCTAGAACTCTCGCGAAAATCTATTTTTAGCATATAGGACTTCACCCTGGGATTAGGGGAAGCAACTAAAAAAAGGGGAGGTGATTCTAATTTGCAGCCATGCGTCCTGGAGTGGTCTTGGAACTCCGGAAAGTGCACGCGGCAAGTGTCATCGTGGAGACAGAATTCTCGAGGGCGACTCGCCTTTTTTTTTGTAGATACAAAACTCTAAAACTCAGCCTCTTTCTGCTCATCTTACAGTTGTTTTTTTTTTTTTTTTTTTTTTTTTTTTTTTTTTTTTTAAGCGTTTGATCCATTCTGACGCCACGGCAAGCTGATATAAAACAAACGCTGTGGATAATTATCCACACGGCTTAGGTTCTTTATACTCGCGGAATCCACGCGGATTAATCATACCACACTGGGCACTGTTTGTTGTATCGCGGGGGGTAAAAATAGACTCGATTTCGATCATTACACGGAAACTGTTAACTCCGCATTTCGTTAATAAACGAAAACGAGGCTAAAAAAAATGTAAGGAGAAATGTATTAAGGCGAATACAATTTTTTTAAAACTCTTTTAAAAGAATATAAAACCTGGGATCATTGCCATTTCGCAGTTTCGTTAGGCCACTTCATGAACGACAACTCCTGAAACGCTTCCAATCGCCGAGAGTTATGGTTCTTGCATTTTTAATGGTAGATTGGCGTTAAATGCACCCCGTGGTCCACTTTAGGGGGAGCGGGGCGCTAGGGCGTCGCGCACTTTAGACGAACCCGATGTTTTTTTTTCCTCACCACGTTACTGCTTACATACTTATCTGAAATGATGCTGTTGTTGTGATGTTGATGTGGTGATGCTGTTGTTGTGATGTTGATGTGGTGATGCTGTTGTTTTGATGTTGATGTGGTGATGCTGTTGTTTTGATGTTGATGTGGTGATGCTGTGGTTGTGATGCTGTTGTTGCGATGCTGTTGTTGTTATGCTGTTGTTGTGATGCTGTTTCGTTATGCTGTTCTCGTGATACTGTTGTTGTGATGCTGTTCTTGTGATGCTGTTGTTGTAATGCTGTTCTTGTGATGCTGTTGGTATGATGCTGTTGTTGTGATGCTGTGGGTTAGTTGTTGTTGTTTATTTAAGTCACTCCTCATTGACATATTTAAAAAACGTTAATGTTTTAAAGTTGTAAAAAAAAATTGTATGCTGGCCTGAAAAGAGAGGAGGGACAGATAGTTTACAAAATGTTGATGAAAATGAGAAAAAGACTATCAATTTTATTTGTGTTGCAAATCTACTGATGTTAATCATCTTCTTTTAGCATTGGTTGATTGAAGACTTTGTGGGCGCGTTTTGCTTTGATTAGCAAAGTTTTAAGACATGTAGAGTAACACTCCACCGGCTCCGTGTTGAAGGTTAATTAAATGGTTTAATTTAAAGCGTAAAAATTCACTAATTAAAATCGCCGTTTTTACTATATTATTGCAGGTTTTGAATTTGAATCCAACATTTTCAGCGTTTTAGAATTTTGTTTTGCTAAGCTGATTGATTCCTCGCACAACTTTTGCCCCTCCCCAATATCTCTCTGTGTCAAGTACAACTGTACCCTTGTCTCACCACCTTCGTCTCACCACCTACTACTCCCTTGTCTCACCACCATCTCACCACCTACTACTCCCTTGTCTCACCACCATCTCACCACCTACTACTCCCTTGTCTCACCACCATCTCACCACCTACTACTCCCTTGTCTCACCACCATCTCACCACCTACTACTCCCTTGTCTCACCACCATCTCACCACCTACTACTCCCTTGTCTCACCACCATCTCACCACCTACTACTCCCTTGTCTCACCACCTTCGTCTCACCATCTACTACTCCCTTGTCTCACCACTGTCTCACCACCTACTACTCCCTTGTCTCACTACCATCTCACCACCTACTACTCCCTTGTCTCACCACCTTCGTCTCACCACCTACTACTCCCTTGTCTCACCACTGTCTCACCACCTACTACTCCCTTGTCTCACTACCATCTCACCACCTACTACTCCCTTGTCTCACCACCTTCGTCTCACCACCTACTACTCCCTTGTCTCACCACTGTCTCACCACCTACTACTCCCTTGTCTCACCACCTTCGTCTCACCACCTACTACTCCCTTGTCTCACCACTGTCTCACCACCTACTACTCCCTTGTCTCACTACCATCTCACCACCTACTACTCCCTTGTCTCACCACTGTCTCACCACCTACTACTCCCTTGTCTCACTACCATCTCACCACCTACTACTCCATTGTCTCACCACTGTCTCACCACCTACTACTCCCTTGTCTCACTACCATCTCACCACCTACTACTCCATTGTCTCACCACTGTGCCCTAGTGTAAACAATTGTCTTTAACCTATTATTCCGTTGTCTCACCATCCCATTTTGTTTTTGTCTCACCACCTACTACTCCCTTGTCTCACCACCTACCGTGCCCTAGTCTAAACGTCATATAACCTATTATTCCGTTGTCTCACCACCCTATTTTGTTTTGTCTCACCACCTACTATACCCGCGTATCACCACCTAGCAACGTCACCTTATCTCGATACAACTGAAATAAAAAGTTTGCTAGTATGTGTGGTCAGTTGGTCTAGATACAGGCGGCTTTTGAAGGGTGGGCACTGATTTTGTAAACACAGTGACGAGATTTGGGTTGTCGCCCCTATCCCTTACAACAACTTGGTCTTCTCTCTCTTCCCCCCTTACCCTACCCCCCCTACACACACCATGACATCACACCATCCCTAACCGTCTCGCCCCCCCCCCCCCCCGCCTGTCAAGCGTATTGTCTTATCTCAGTACCCCAATCTTTTTGCCGGCAGAGGGCGCCTCGGTGCACCGGAAGGAGTAATGTGATTGGTTTAGGGTTAGTGCCCGGTGCGCCCCTATTGGTTACGGTGCATTGTGGGTACGTACAAACGCTGCCGTCGTCTGCTTCATGTATGCAGACTCGCGGGATGTAATAGAATGCATTTTTTTTAAACTCGCCCACTCGCCAGACCCCACCCCCCCCCCCTCGCCCCCTCTCCACTGTCAGCTGTCATTCTGGTTTTATCGTTAGGATTAACGTCACGTGCATCCTTCCTTACGTTAATCCAGCCGTTGATACAATAACAAGGATAATCCTCCCGTTAATATTATAAACCCAGGATTCCAAACTCATAGATTCGGCTCAAGAAAAGCACCCCCCCCCGCCCCTTGTGTCTATTTATAGCTCACGAGTCCCGGGTATGTGGCACAAAATATGGCGGCCGTTGCATAATTAACGCGAGATGAAACGGTAGCCCACGAGTCCCGGGTATGTCGGGGTTTCAATTGTTTATGTCGTAGATCTCCCACATTTCGCCAGCTTTTTCACGAGCTTGGCATTTGGCGAGGGGTGATAAAGGTGGCGAGTGCTGTTAAATGAAATATGAAGGTTGCTATGTGATATTTCAACTATTTTTTTATAATGATTGTGTAATTTGCCAAATAGATAGACGTTGTTTGTATTGTATGGTCTCATATTGTTTTGTTTTTAGTGTTCATCTGTGGTCTTCTACATAAGCACGTAATGTAGAAATAGTTTCTATGTAGTCAGTTCCGAGGCAATTTATCAAAAATGCTCTCGTTTTTTGGATGATTTGCCTCAGAACCGACTATATAGAAACTGTTTCTACAAAATGTAAAACGTCAAATAGTCGTATTTAGACATAAAGATTTATAATGCAGATGAAGTAGAGTTGGTCTGTTTATTTCTGTAGTTGGTGAATATATTTAGACCAAGCATGGTGAAATTCGATCGTGCAAAATATTGATAGCTGTACAGAATGTATATATACCTGATTCACACGTTGTAATTGTCTTGCTCTAGATTTAACAAAGACCCAAGAATTGCATTTTTTTCCCTCCAAGTACTCTTCATATGTTAATGCCCTCGTTAATGTTCAGTTATCATACCATAGTTTAATGAATACATCCTACAGCGTGTGTGTTTATAATGTTGTGTTACCCTAACCCTGACTCGTGTCTCTCCCCCCCCCCCCCCCCACAGAGCCCCCATCTGCACCCAGGAACCCGTCCATAGAGAGCCAGACCTCCACCAGCGTCACCCTCGTCTGGGAGCCGCCCACCGACCTGGGGGCGCGGCTCGACCTCAACTACCGCATCGTCTGCCAGAAGTGTAACAACGAGGTGCTCTACACACCTGGATGGCGGGGGTTCAATACCACCAGGTGAGTGGGGGGGGGGGGATAATATAAAATAAGATGTGTGGGGTAGAGTTATATAACACCAGATGTGTGGAATAGTTTACTTTTGTAACACTAGGTGTGGGATAGATAGTTGTATAACACTAGGTATGTGGGATAGTTATTTATATAACACTAGGTATGTGGGATAGATAGTTATATAACACTTGGTGTGTGGGATAGATAGTTTACTTTTATAACACTAGGTGTGTGGGATATGTAGTTGTATAACACTAGGTGTGTGGGATATATATTCATATAACACTAGGTGTGTGGGATAGTTACATAACACTAGATGTGTGGATAGATAGTTATATAACATTAGGTGTGTGGGAAAGATAGTTATATAACACTATGTGTGTGTGTGGGATATGTAGCTTATATAACAGCAGATGTGTGGGATAGGTAGTTGTATAACACTAAGTGTATGAGATAGATAGTTATATAACCCAAGGCATCTGCGTAATAGATAGTTATATAACACCAGCTATGTTGGATTGTTATAAAAATTTAGGCGTGTGGCATAGATAGTTACAAAACACCTGGTAAGGGGGCCGGATATATACCAATACCGCCAGACATTAGACAAAAACTAGACGTTAATAACATAAAACAGCTGATTAAAGATCTACTGAGTTCTATTTAGAAACATACCTAACCAACTCACGATGATAAATACTTACATAGGCATATTTAGGGCCATTGTGGGGTCATACGGTCCGCATAACTTTTCGTTGGGGGCGGGGGGGGGGGGAATGTGTGTGTGTGGGGGGGGGGGGGGGCAATGACACCTGGAACCATCATGGCCACTGAAGAATGGTGGCGCATCCTCCCGAGTACACACACAAAGTTATTAATGCGAAAGTTCCTTCTTTAAGCCAGTGAATATCACTAACCCTAACCCAAACAAATAGCATGTCGCCTGCATGTTAAACATGCAAATGTCAACCGCAGCCTAAATTTGTATTCAAATGAAGGCCTGGCCCGTGTAACGAGTTCTCACACTCGGGAATTCTCGTGTGGTTTGAGAATCCTCACCCCCACGTGAACACCCCCCCCTCCCTCCCCTCACACCCTCAGCCACGCTGACCTGGTTTGTAATTGAACGTTGCACGTGAGTTCGACCGCTCCCCCCCCCCCCCTGATTGAATATGACATTTCTGATTCTCTAATGATTGGCAGGCGAGGGTGTCAGTGCAGGCAGTATCCCAATAATTCCGTACACTTAGCTACCTGGGCGCGCGCTGTTTTTTCAATCAACCGTTGAGAAACAACAAACCGTCGACGTAATTTTTTTTTTGGACTTGTCGCGTAACTTAACAGTTCTCTCCCCTGCGAGTTAAAAAAAAATAACTTAAAATTCATCCTCCATTTGCAAAGCACCCGCTCTACCCAAGAATACAAATTAATAGCGGTAAAAAGGGGAGATAAATACTTCGTTTTGAGGCGTTTGGAATTCCTGAAGAAGCGATATTTTTTTTCACTAATAGATTGGAAGATGACGTATTGCAACGGTGGCGCAAAAAAAAAAAAAAAGGTTTGGTGGAGAATTGGGGCGAAACTAAAAATTTGGCGCCCTACAGTGTTAGGTCACCACCACCCTACCACCACCCCTATCACTACCACCACCCACCCAACGCCACCATCCCTCCCAACACCACCCCCCACCCAACACCAACACCACCACCACGCCATCCAACACCACCACCCACCCAACACCACCACCACCACCCCACCCAACACCACCACCCCACCCAACACCACCACCACCACCACCCCACCCACCACCACCACCCCACCCAACACCACCCACCCAACACCACCACCACCCCACCCAACACCACCACCACGCCACCCAACACCACCACCACGCCACCCAACACCACCACCACCCCACCCAACACCACCCAACACCCCACCCAACACCACCACCACCCCACCCAACACCACCACTACCCCACCCAACACCACCACCACCCCACCCAACACCACCACCACCCCACCCAACACCACCACCCCTACCACTACCACCATCCCTACCACCACCCCACCCAACACCACCACCACCCCACCCAACACCACCACCACCCCACCCAACACCACCACCACCCCACCCAACACCACCACCCCTACCACTACCACCATCCCTACCACCACCCCACCCAACACTACCACCACCCCACCCAACACCACCACCACCCCACCCAACACTACCACCACCCCACCCAACACCACCACCACCCCACCCAACACCACCACCCCTACCACTACCACCATCCCTACCACCACCCCTACCACCACCCTACCACCCTTTTCTTTATACGACGTTATCTTTCAGAATCACTCTGTATCCTTCCATATCCTAACTAATAACGTTATTATTTGACCAAGTTTTTTGTCCAATCACAACAACGAGTACCGTGAGTCGAGTTCACACTGTTAAGGTCTTTCAACCTTACAACCTGTGTCTTGTCGTGCAAGCTAATAAACACCAGAGCTACAACAGCAGTTATATTTTCAAGAGGTGCATACAGAAATACACGGGGGTGGGGGGGGAGCATGATGGTATCCCATAACACTTAGTATTGTGTAGTTTAGATGTGGGGGGTTTTTTTTTTCGTTTTTTTTTTTTTTTCGTTTTTTTCTTTTGAAGGCACTTCCCCGAAGAAATACGTTTTTTTTTTCGTATCCTATAATAGCCCTTATTTATTCAAGTCTTAATGAATTCGAACCTTCTCGCACTGGGTCGATGTCTGTAGTCAGACAATTGTCTTGCATTATATCATTTTCTGTCCAGACAGAACGTCCGCGGCACCCGGGCTAACCAAACAGCAACAGCGACACCCGCAAGTTTGCCGGCTATTGAGCCGCATGAGAAATGAGATCTCAATACTTTCCCTCGACCCCTAGCTCTCTGAATAGTTTCCCTCGACCCCCAGCTCGTCTAATGAAACGACAGAAGCCAGGAAAAATATACGCTGGGTCTCGCGTTTGTTTTAAGACGGGATCGCCTTCTTAGGGCTCTGTGTGTTTGTGTGTCTTACCGCACGCGGAGTTACCGTGGGTAAACACGGGCGTTTAAACGCCCAGTGTCGGTGTTTGACGGGGATGTTAACCCCCACATTAGCAGTGGCTCTTAAATTGTAGTAAAGGTACCCTTCCAGGCATTAGGATCCATAAGGGGAGATAAGTTTAGTTCAGTTTTATAATACCAGCAACTCATTTCCCCCTCATATGTAGACAGTATGTGGCATGTACAGTTTCTCTGATGATATTACATTTGTACATAGTTAAGTTTCCTTTCGAGCCTGATGGTCATTGGGACAGATGAAGTAGAGTCCATCAGTTTCTGTGAACCATTTTGCCCAAGCATCTTTGCTTTCCCCAACGTGAGTCAGGTACCAGTTAGAGCTGGGTGGACTCAGGGACGTCTTACAGTCTAGAGTCCAGACCGAGATCCGAACTCGAGATCTTCGGGTTGGTAGCCGAACGCTCTACCATTGAACGATGCCGTGCCATTGTTAAATTATAACGGGTCGACTCATTTATTTTAATTAGCATGTCAAATTACCAGTGCAGTTGTTTAAATGAGCAGTTGTTACTTTTTAGTTGCAAACACATGGTTTAGCTCATTATGTATCCCGTGTAATTAGTCTTATTCAAGAAACTAAAAAGTTACGAATTTAAATTTTAAATTAAGGCATAATATATAAGGTTTTTATTTTTTGCCTTTTAGATGAGTTTTTATGGGCTTTAATTCTAGTGCGTTTGATTAGCATATGGGACAAAATACATTTTAACACGTAAATTTATTACATTTTTTAATATGTCAGAGCCATGGTTCGAGTTTAGTTTTTTTTTTAGCAGTTGTCTGGAATAATTTGCAATCGACACTTGGTATAAGCAGGTTAAAAGCTGTTAGTGATATCGACGTGTGATAGATTGGGTGGAGTAATAAATCAAGACCCCCCCCCCCGGACTTCCCCGCCCCCCCCCCCCTAACCCTTTTTTCCTTTCATCTCCTACCCCCACCCTCTTCCCTCAAATAATGTCTTTGCATAAGAGGGTTAAGTTAATCTTTATTGACAACTTGTAAAGGTCTGGGTCGCTACCAACGTCTTCACAAGAACCGCCTCATCCTATTAGAAACCATCAGAAGACGAGGCCGCTGGCGAGGGCTGGGGTGGGCAAATAGATTTAGTCTTGATGGGAGAACTGAAACAAAGAGAGGGTGGGGGGGGGGGTTCTTTTAGGGTGGGGGTGGGGTTTTAGGCCTTCATGAATTTACCTGGATAGTTGGAGGGTATTTGCTGGAGGTAGGATAATAGCTACGGGTAGGTGTTTTTTTGTTTTTACAGTTAGGATTGAGGTGGGATTAGGATTAGGAGCCAGTGACTAATTCATAAGATGGAGGCTGGGGTGAGGTATTCTGGCGAATGGATAAATTAGCTGGTGATGTTAACTTGTTTGGCGATTAGATGAAACGGTTGGCAACTAGGTGAAATAGCTGGCGAATAGTTGAAATAACTGGTGAATAGATAAAATAGCTTGCGAATAGGTGAAATAGCTGGCGAATAGATGAAATAGCTGGTGAATAGTTGAAATAGCTGGCGAATAGTTGAAATAGTTGGCGAAAAGATGAAATAGCTGGTGAATAGTTGAAATAGCTGGCGAATAGTTGAAATAGTTGGCGAAAAGATGAAATAGCTGGTGAATAGTTGAAATAGCTGGCGAATAGTTGAAATAGTTGGCGAAAAGATGAAGCAGCTGGCGAATTTATAAAATAGCCGACGAATAGATAAAATAGCTGGCGACTAGATAAAATAGCTGGCGAATAGTTAAAATAGCTGGCGACTAGACAAGATGAAATAGCTGGCAACTAGATGACATAGCTGGCGACCTGGTGGCGACTGCATGCCCTCAGACCAAATCTCAGTCACAAAGCGTCCAAGCCGACAACAAAACCTGGCAGCTAATTTGATGCCAGACGGAGGGGGGGGGGGGGGGGGGGGTGGGGGCTGTGTTTAGGGGGGGGGTATACACTCAGTGCACAAACACACTCGTCATATTAGTGCACTTTATTTTGACTAATTAAGCTGATTACGCTATCGCCTGTCAAAGATGGGAAAAAAATAATTAGAGGGAGAAAAAAAACGTGAATTGACAAAGAGGAAATGCGCTGGGAGTGAAAGAGTTAATGAGAGAAGGGGAGGGGGGGGAGGAAGAGGGTGGAGAGATGATGAAAAAATACCGAGCATATGAGGTTAAATGGACGCCCGAGGGTAGCAAGGGGGTGGTGGGGGCGTCCGCATTTCTTTAGTGGCGGAAGTTGGGGTTTCAGATTGGGAGGAACTGTGGGTCAAGGCCGTGAGGGTTAATGGGCCAAATGCACGCACGTTCTTTATCGAGGTGAGTAGCGAGCACATGGGGTTAAAAAACAAACGGTCGGTTGACATGCTTTTAGTTACGTCTGCCACCGCATGTCGTGGTTAATTTCATTTTGAAGAGCGCTCATCTCGGTCCGGCTATTTTTAGACATGATGAGGGTAGTGGCATCGTTTGACTCAGAATAAAACGAGGTTAGAATCATCTGACCCTAGTTTTTTTTTTTTTTATCTTTTTTTATGAAATTTTAAAACCGATATAATTTTACTTAGGAAAAATAAATTAATTTAATCCCTTATCTTTTAAGTTTTTCAACGGTATGTATTGTATAAAGGTTAAAATATTGTAATATAGAAACCAGAACCAACATTTAAAAACAAAAATTGTTCTCTCTTGAGAATGTTGTTAAAAAAAATTAAGTAATGACAGGGGAGATAATGGGAGTGATAAGAGAGAGAAGCGGGGAGGGGGGGATTTTTTTTAGTAATTAAAAAAAGGAAACAAATGACAAAGCTTTCTTCATTATAACTGCACGTATGGACTAATTCGTGCTGTTTGTGGCGACTGACAGAGTTCAATTCTTGTTGTCATCTGGCCAGCACTCGACCTTCGTCTCGTGCAATGTGGTTCCAGACTTCTGAAAGTCTTCGCGGGCATCGATTTCTGTTATACCGTTTTTTTCACATGCCTACCTGTCTTGTAATTAGCGAATATTTCTTGCGCATGCGCGCTGGGGTGTATATTAAATGATGTTACTTAAAATAGATGCATACGTTGTAGTTTGAGTAAGGTGTTTAAAGGTGTTTTGATGTAATGGTGAATTTGTTAGAGTAAGGTGTCTAAAGGTGTTTTGATGTAATGGTGAATTTGTTTGAGTAAAGTGTTGAAAGGTGTTTTGATGTAATGGTGAATTTGTTAGAGTAAGGTGTTTAAAGGTGTTTTGATGTAATGGTGAATTTGTTAGAGTAAGGTGTTTAAAGGTGTTTTGATGTAATGGTGAATTTGTTAGAGTAAGATGTTTAAAGGTGTTTTAATGTAATGGTGAATTTGTTAGAGTAAGATGTTTAAAGGTGTTTTGATGTAATGGTGAATTTGTTAGAGTAAGGTGTTTAAAGGTGTTTTGATGTAATGGTGAATTTGTTAGAGTAAGATGTTTAAAGGTGTTTTAATGTAATGGTGAATTTGTTAGAGTAAGATGTTTAAAGGTGTTTTAATGTAATGGTGAATTTGTTAGAGTAAGATGTTTAAAGGTGTTTTGATGTAATGGTGAATTTGTTAGAGTAAGATGTTTAAAGGTGTTTTAATGTAATGGTGAATTTGTTAGAGTAAGATGTTTAAAGGTGTTTTGATGTAATGGTGAATTTGTTAGAGTAAGATGTTTAAAGGTGTTTTAATGTAATGGTGAATTTGTTAGAGTAAGATGTTTAAAGGTGTTTTAATGTAATGGTGAATTTGTTAGAGTAAGATGTTTAAAGGTGTTTTAATGTAATGGTGATGTTGTTCTGGTCTGACAGGGTGACGTTGAGTAACCTGGAGCCAGGCAAGACCTACGAGGTGCTCATCTACTCGGAGAATGGGGTGACCAACGTCAGCGCTACCACCCCCCAGTCCGTCGCCGTCACTGTCATCACCCAGTCCCTAGGTGAGTAGGCCTACATTTTAGTACATCTGGATTCCTTGGTCACAGGTAATAATGTACTAATGTGGTTTTTGCAACAGAAGTGTTAAAGAAATTCTTTATTACTACCATGGCTGTGATTAGCCCTAGCTGTAAGCCTTACATTTAACTTGATCCAATCCATATTTAATGCAATTTTCCTCAACCATTATATTAAACTTTATCCGTTTTTGTATGGTTTTCCGTGTCTCGGAACATCATCATCTTTTCCTGCTTGTGCCCAAGGCTCATCGGGCAGATGAAGTAGAGTTCATCTATTTCTATGCCCTCTATAAAGAGATAGTGTGGTCCGCAGTTTTCCCAGCCGGAACATCCAATCCAAATAATAACCTAATGTCTAGTACCATCACTGGTATAGTCAGACTTAACAACATCCTCACCATACTTTACAGTCATATCTGAAAAACAAACGTAACTAATGAACAGCTAGCTAGTACGTTGAACCAAACAATCCACACACATTAAACTAACACCTGTGATTGTCCTGCAGGTAAGGTGACAGGGCTCCGCAAGCTCACCATGGGTCAGAAGTCGCTGACCCTAGCGTGGGACGTGCCCCAGAACATGAAGGGGCGTGTCCTCCAGTACCAGATCCGGTACTACCCCAGGACTGACGAGACCAGTGCCCAGACCAAACTCACGCCCTTCCAGAACTTCACGCTCAATGAGTTTATGCTGCAGACGGAATATATTTTCATGGTGAGTACATCAAGCCTGTCTTCTGTGGTGTGAGTAAATCAAGCCTGTCTTCTGTGGTGTTAGTGCATACATCCACGTCTACTGTGGAGTGAGTACGTACATCCATGTTCTCTGTGCAGTGAATACATACATACATCCACGTCTTGTGGATAGTGTGTACACACATATACCCACGTCTACTGTGGAGCTAGTACACACATATACCCACGTCTACTGTGGAGCTAGTACACACATATACCCACGTCTACTGTGGAGCTAGTACACACATATACCCACGTCTACTGTGGAGCTAGTACACACATATACCCACGTCTACTATGGAGCTAGTACATACATATAGCCATGCCTTATGTGGAGTGAGTAAGGACAACTCTGACTGTCCTCTGTATACACATACATCCAAGTCTTGTGTACATGTTTATATTTAGCATTCATTACAGTCATATGTATTCATTAAGTCAGCAGTGTTCGTTGCAACATTAGTATCCACTACAGCAGCACTATCCACCATCATCTTTGTCATCAATATCCACTATGTCATCAGTGTTTACTGATATAACTATCCACTATATTACCAGTATGCACTACATCAATAGAATCCACAACATTGTCAGTATCCACTATGTCATGAGTAGCCGCTTTATCAGCAGTATCCATTATGTCATTCATTAGTATCCACAATGTCATCACTATCCACAACATCACCTGTCATTAACATCCCATATGTTTCAACTCTCATCATAACATAAATACAACGTCTTCAAAGTTTATCACAACCAACGAGTCTTGCAACCTGAAAGAGTAATAGCTGCTATAATTATGTGTGTGTGTGTGGGGGGGGGGGGGTCGGAAAACTTATGTAACAGCTGGCTCCATGATGACTGAGTTTAACCGGCTACCCAGCCCACACCACACCACTTCAAAACCCAACGTAACGACCCACCCCAACATTCCGTTAACCGCTCTTAATTTGTAACCCCGTCCTCTAAACACACTTGTAGACGGTTTACGTCGTGAGACGATTGTGTTTAGTTAACTCCGAGGGTTGCTTAGTCTTCTCCCCCTAGACATTAGACAATTTTACGGCAGGAAGAAAACACAAATCTATTCACGAGTGCCGAGTTTAAAAAAAAACACGAGGGCAGTAACTAACAGACTATGCATGCCTTTCCAAATCCCCCCTCTATTTCTTTGTTTAAACTTGTATATATTCAAACTGACTTTAAAAAAAAAAAAAAAAAATAAAAAAAAAAAATTGTAATGACAAGGGGAAGAAACTGCGGAGAAAATCAAGGGAGAAAACCAACGGTTGAGTAGTCGTGAATGGTATAGGTAATGAGGAATTCGCAGGCGAGTACATGAAATGTCCATTTGGTAACAACCGCACCGGCGAACGGGGGACTGGAATTTCAAATAGTCGACTGCCAAATGTCGAAACGGGGATTTTGGGGGATTTGTGTAGTTTATGGGGCCGGGCGAGGGGGGTACTTATCTTGATGGTGAAATTCAAAACTCATTCATCTTACGCGGGTGTTGGTTTGAATTTTTTTTTTAAAGCGTGGGATAGTGGCTAAAACTAACATCACTAATTATAAGTTTTAATTAGTTTTGGGGTTAATGTACATATTTAGAATAGGTCACTGCCCACTAGGCGGAGAAAAGTCGTAAAAGCCCTCGCCACATCCTGTATTTAGATCAGTTGTGTTAAAGGATGATTTATGTTAACTAGTAGTAATTATGGGCATAGTGGTGTATGCATTATTTTATTCCTTTGTGGAATTGTGTATATCTGAATTATTCTGTATCACTATAAATATGTTTTGTACCTTAAACTTGCGATGTGTTAGGTCTTAATAACATATCTCGTATTCTGTTGTTCTTATATCGCCTGCTTCCGTTGTCATTATCTCCAGTGTTTCTTTCAGACTTTTTTTCTCTGAGGGGGGGGGGGGCACTCAATTCTTCGGGAAGGGCGGATACTACTGTGAAAAGTATATACTTTTTATAGAAATTCTATTCGGTTTGGGGAGGGGGCAGTGGAAGTTCTTCATGGGGAGTTGAGATGCCTGAAAGAAACAATGCTCCTATCTTGAAATAACTGTAAAGAGGTGTATTCGTCTAACTGTATTATTACTGAAGAATCTATTTGGTAGACTTCGTGAATGTTTTTCTTCACCCGCCCTATGTACTGGTATACAAATGTATCAGTTACCAGCCTCGGTCAGCGGTCAAGACAATCCCCTCCCCGGGGGTCGAGACTCACCCTGGTAAACCTGTAATGAATGCCCTGTCACCGTGTGAATGACACGTGACCACTAGCCTCTAATCTCGCATGTCCTGGTGGCACCCCCTGCCCCACCCCCACCCCCACCCCCTGCACCACCCTCCACCGCCCTATACATGGCCACGGCAGAACCAGGCGCCCACTCGCGGCCGTCATTTACCGAGGCTAATGGCGAACATTCTAGTCCTGAGGGGGAGGGGGATATCATGCAGCAATTCAACTCATTTGTCATCACGGAAACTCAGCCAATAACAGTACCTTGTCGAAACATATTTTAAAAAAAATTAACTTCCCGAGTATTAAAAAATGCATATTTGTATTTGAGTAAATACAGGCATGTTTTATGTTATACAAAAATTAAAGTGCTCAAATTATTTACATTGACCTGTTTTAAGGAAATGTTTAATTATACAAGCCTTCCAACAATGTATATTGTTTTAAATATATTATATGTGTATGTTGTGTGTGTGATTCATCAATACCCAGCCATACTCCACTTAAACATATGCATAGTGGCTTTTCTGTTGTTGTTTTTTTTAAATAAAAAATAATATTTCGTTTGAAAAAAAAAATACTTGACAAAATAGTTTATAAATCATGTGGATTTAAAATAATGACAAATTTCCATATAATATTTCATAACTGCTGCTTTTTTCTCTCAGCAATGTATTGAAAGTGAGAATACATTTTAAACCGCCCCCACCGTTCAGCCCCCCCCCCCCCCCACCAAACCACCACCCTGGAGCACGCCAATCAACTCGTATACTTTTGACCGGCCCCGGTCACTGTAGGGCTTCTGCGTCATTAGCCCGTCAATATGAGAAGCCCTTTTTGGGGGGGGCTTTTCTTTCTTTTTTTTTTTTTTTTTTTTTTTTTTTTTTTTTTTTTTTTTTTTTTTTACTTCGGTTTTTAGAATCCCCGAGTTTTTATTTTAAAGGCGTTTATTTCATTCAGCGGGTGGGGGTGTGGGTAGAGGGGAGGGGTTGATTGACATGTGAAGGTGAAGGTGAGTTGATCCAGGGGTCAGGTTGATGGTGGCGGACGTAAAGGAGATCAAGCGTATGGTGCCTGGTTGACGTCTTATTTCACGCTGGGAGAGGGGGGGGGGGTGGAGTCAAGTGAAATTGATTTGGGCGTGTGGGAGGTGGGGGGTATTGTTTATTAAACAATATCTGAAGCAGTGAGTGATGCTTACCCTCCCTTACTCCCCCCCCCCGGGGTCAGTGACGTGTCGCCCACTGACTGAAAGAGTTTGTGAGAAGTGGAGGACAGTTTAATCCACTCTCCATTTCACTCTTCAATCTCCTCACGCACCCACATACTCACACACTCACCCATACACTCACCCACACACTCACCCACACACTCACCCACGCACCCACACACTTACCACACCCACACACTCACTACACCCACAAACTCAACACAACCACACACTCACCAGACCCACACATTCTCACACATACTCGCTCAAACACACAAACTTATCGCACGCAGAGGAACACGCCTACTTTTCCATCCGTGAATTCCACCCACATCCACCCACTGTCCAGTACATCCACTTAACCAACCCACCAGCCCAACCACCCAATCCACCATATTAGGTTCCACCGGCATGAATCCACCCAACAGCTCCACCAACCATGAGAAAACACCAGTTACATAATTAATACATAAAAAAATATTTCCGGAATTAATTCCCTTTGTAGACATCTCCACAAAAAAGAGATAATGGACGCTTTGTTTGTAGCAGGTCTCTCTGGGGTATTAAAACAAAGGGAAGTAACTTCCATAGACATTTGCATACTTTAACAGCATATCATTCATTGTTAAAACAGGCAGAGTTGTGTATTATTAATTATATAGCCAAAATTACGTAATTTGTTAATTTTTAATTTTTTTTAAAATTTTACTTGTTGAATTTATTAAATTGTATTGTTATTAAAGTTGAGTATCCTATAAAAAGCGAGGAACCTTTCTACGCCACACTGACCTTGCAGTCCCTTTTCCCGTCACCAACAGAGCTGGATCTATTTTAAGGATAAGCGGATCACTCAGCCTATCCATGCGGATAACCGGTTCCTTGGATAAATATCATTCGGATAATTCATTACAAGTATCCGTTTTCTTTGAATGGAAAAAAAATCAAGCTGGACGATCATTACGAGAAATAAAACCCACGAGTGTTTGGCGATGCTGATCAATAAGAAAAAAAAATATAATTAATTTTATTTTAATTTTTTTTTTCTTGAAAATCGATTTTTTTTTTAAACCCGTGAACAAGTTTAGAATTTGAAATATCTCGCGTTTTTTTTTCCTCTCGTCAACTCCCCGGGCATTTGTGTGTCTGATCTTATTTTGATAACCCTTAGGCCTCCAACTCACACACACACACACCACTTTCACACACACATGCAAGCACACACACACACACACTCACACACGCTCACACACACACTCACACATACACACACGTGTACCAGACTCTCTATCCCCTCGGCTATCCTGTTTCTCCTATCTTTGTAATACCGCCACCTTTTTTTTTGTAGCGATCATGTTTATATCACTTGTCACAAGCCTCATACCCACCCCTCACATTAAGCCCACCTCCCCCTTATTCTACAACTACCTATCCCCTCATCCGAACCTTATCTAAGCCTACACCCTCCTTCATACCATAACCCTCCTCCCATATGATATTAAACCATGTTCCACA